GATCCCTTCCTTTATTTGTGTCTTCTTGAAATCTTCTGTCTATGAAATTCCACTTCCAACCAGGAGGATCTGGTGTAGGGCAACTTGGTAACCCAGTAGTGTGGCGAACTGACTTCTTTATGACATGCATTCTCAGTGGGGGTTGTATCTTCCCCATGTGGTGGAGACCTGGTCAGCTTACTTCTGTGCTGTTTTCTTTGAGACAGAGTCATTATTCGTCATTATTGGATTTACGATCCTCCTGTCTCCTGCCAAGTGTTGATATTATAGGTATCACTGTACCCACCACCACTGTACCCAGCTAAAATCTTATCTTTTTGTGTATAAAAGGACAAATATACATAAAACACAGAGGCAAATGCACAGTACCTGTCTTTATTAAAATGGTATGAGAAGAATGTCTAAAAGTCTAAAGCATCTCTTTATGAGAAAGCAGTAACAAAGGAAAATCAAGAAATACTGCCACAGATGTTAAGCAGGAAAGAGAACCAACATTTACGAGCAGAGTACTAATGGTCAGCCACAGTGCTAAGCAGTTTCACATATTCTCTTATTTAACCCTCACACCAGTCATAGATGAGGAAACTGAACTGTGATAACTTGACCAAAACCACACAGCCTCCAGATAGCATAGCAAGATTTGAGGCCTGGTCTGTCTCCAAGCCTTGCTCTTCCCATTCTACCCAGGCTGCAGAGTCAAGAGTAGTTCACTGGTCACTATCCTCAAGAACAAGAAAACAAAGAATTCACTCACAACATGTGTGCTTGTAACTTTGCACACTCTCTACCTCTCACGGTCATGTAGGACACTGCTTCCTGCAGTATTTTATGTCTTAACTCATAATTATTAAAAGGGAGCCATTTACTAGGTTAGAAAAATAACAAGAAAAAGCAAGCATGTATTTTCCCTATTTTCTCCATTTAGTTTCTTTCTCTGGGCTGCCCTCAGCAAGATTGCCCTCACTCCCAAATCACCCAAACCTAACACACTCCAGATTTTTTAAAAAAACCAACATTTGGCAACTACCTAGGAGGAATGCATTGAGGTTAGGAAGCCCCTTGATGCAATTCTAGGCTGAGTGCTAATTTAAAAGACAGCAGAGACTGAACATTCTCGGCCTTACAAACGCAAGCTGCAAAGTAGCTCCTTGGGGTTCAAGTTCACAGAACTGACTGGGGTGACCACAAACACTGCTTCTCAGAGCTGCCTTAGCCAAATTCTTAGGAACCCTGACATCAGAAGACACCCAGCCGACAGAACCCAGCACCAGCGTTACAGGGAGCAGGCGTCCAGAAGTTCAGCTTGCAGAGCACAGACACGGCAGAGAATTCACACACCTGCCATACACCTGGCACTGCCTGGTTACTTTTGGCCCAAGCAACAGCAAGGGGACAGCATGCCTTTCACTAAAAAGACTGAGGATAGTTTAATGAAGTTTTGGATTGTTTTTAGTAAGATAATTATTTAGGAGACATAAATATGAGCAAAAGTCAAAATGACAAATGAAGTGTGCTTTACCAAGATGAGTAGACAGAGTCAGGAGACCTTTCGGATGTCTCCTTAAGCAACACAGTTCCCCTTTTCAGACTTCCACTTCCTTATCCATAAAAGGAGAGCATTACTAGCTCAAGTTCCCTTCTTACTTGATTAGGCTATTTACACCAAAGGGTCAGCTGGGTGGTTTCCTATGAATTTTGGGATTCTCACCCCTTCCCAGTCCTTGCTGGTGACCATGCTCCAATCTGCCTCAGGATCCCTGAGGATAATACCACAGGTGGTTTCCATCAGGGATGAAGCCCTGAATGTCCTGGTGTCTGACTATAGGAAGGAAACAATGTCCAGGAGTCCTGGATGCTTTGGGAAGCTTTGTAATATAAAATATGATTTCCTAACAAGGAAACTCTTGTTTTGTTTGATGTAGGGGATTGAACTCATGACCATGCACTTGCCGGGCAGGTACTTGTGCTGCTGAGCAAAATCCCCAGCCTGGTAACCAGGAAACTCTTAGCAGCATAACTTGTCTTTCTCTTCTTCACAAAAAGCATTGCTCATAGCACCTTCATTCTCACTGCCCTTGATAGAAGGAAGCCATGGAAGCCGTGCCACATCCTTGGCTTCTAATCTGGCTCTGAGGTTCAGAATGACTTTGTAGTTCCTTCTCTGGGAGAGAGAGATTAGGTACTTGATCTCCTTCTTTGTCTCTCCTCTTTCTTTCTTTCTTTCTTTCTTTCTTACTTTCTTTCTTTCTTTCTTTCCTTCTTTCTTTCTTTCTTTCTTTCCTTCTTTCAGGCAAGGTCTCACCACACAGTCCAAGTTGAGCTTGCACTATGTGGCTCAGGCTGGCCTTAAACTTGTGATTATCCTTCCTCAGCCTTCTGCTGCTGGGATCATGGTGTAAGCCACCACACTGACATACCAATATATTTTAAAATGCCTTCAGTACAGAGTTGTAAAAGAAACTAGTAATCAATGAATCCTAGATTGAGGCCCCAATTCCAAAGAGAAAAAAAGAACCCTTAAATTATATTGGACAGTAGCCTACTTTCCTTGTTATGTAATGCGATGTCTGTAACAACTCTTGAGGTGGAAACAATTATTATTCTGATTTTACCAATGAAAAAAATTAGTTTTAGCGATATGAACTTGACTACTAATTTGTACAGTGGTGGAGCTAAGATTCTGAAGCAAGTCAGCTTGACTGCAGGACCTGAGTTTATAACCACTGTGATGTCCTCTGGCAGCACAAGTGGCCTTCATCCTCATACTTGACTCATTTGGGGCCCTTGGTAAGGCATGACCCAAAGAGAAATAAAATTTGTTTCTAATGAGGACATTTTTTTCACTTCTTTATAACTATATTTCTTTGAATTTTACATCCTACACACTCAAGATACTTCCTATGAATCTTTTAAAAACCAGATTATTTTCTGGTGTGGGTTAGACCAGTTCTTGCTTTCAGTAAGGCTTAGGGACACATCCTCCAAGCAATGATTGTTCTGCTTGAGACATTCACTACTGATGTTTTTAATATTCTTCAGCTAGATTCACTTACATGTTTATTGAGCACAATTTAACTTCAAGGTAGTTCTCAATTCCAGGATACAGAGATTGGAAAACCACCCCTTCTCACATTTTCCAAGAAATCTCAATTTGTTTGCTGCTGTCTAACCCAACTCTGTTGTGCTCCCCTTATGATTCTCAAACTATATTTATTGTTTGAAAAGATTATATTAAATTTCCCCATATATCTTCTTCTTCATAAACAGCCCATCTGTTTGCAAACTCAATGCATAATATTCCCCTCAGGTCAAAGGGAAGAGAATGACTATTAGTGAACAACTCTCCTATATGTGAGTATTTATAATTCACTATCTCACTTAATCATCACAAAAGAACAAAGGGGTGAAGGTCATTATCTGTGTTTCAAATGAAACACCTGAAGGTCAAAGAGGTTAAATAGCAGAACTTGGAAAAGGCAGGTCTTGGAGGTAGAATCAGAGGGAGGATTACAGAGCCTCCTTTTCTTCCTACAGAATCATTATTCTGAAGTCCAAGGCTTAGAAAAAGATACCTCCTGGGTAGGAGAGGTGGGTCACAGAAATTATTGTGTAACATATCCTACATGCCCTCCACTCTATCCACTAAGTTGTCCATGAAACATGAGGAGGTAGCTAACTTGTAGCATGGTTCGCAGGAGTGTTGGACAAGCACGTCCCCTCTCAGTAGCCCCACTGCTTTGTCCTTGTGCTCTTGGAGTTTATTCGTAGACTCTTACGTGTTTTCAGTCTTGAAACACTTCAGATACAAGGGGCAGATTTCATAAAAGAATTAGGTCAAGGGAGAAGGAAAATGAATTGATGAGGAGATGGAAGGATTCCAGAGGCAAACTTTTCATTATCACCTGAAGTTGAATGAACAGTGTTAACCTTCATGCTGATAACTCTAGACAATTGGAAAGGTGGGGAAGTTTGCCTCTGATATCTTTTTTGATTTTTTTTGAGATTGGCTTTTAGGACTAAAGATCTCAAATAATAGAATCAGGTACTGCACAACATACAAAGCAAACATCAAAGTATGTGATGTTGTGAACTTTCCTTTGTTAAACGTAAAGTTCTAATCACAGTTCTCTTTTCAGCTTAGAAAGAGTTCATCTATTGTAGCAAAAAATTGTTTATGTGGTCCTTTAAAGTTTACTTTAAAACTGATTTATACTGTAATGAATATGGGAAAATATTATAATGAAAATTAATACTAAGTGAAAATATATTTTAAGGTTGTCTTTACAGTGTAGGTTCTTGGGTTTGCTTTTATTTTTGTTTTACAAGCACATATTTTATAGAATGAATGTAAGTAGAAGCTTGCTCACCTTTTTAAAGAAATATATTCTAAGATGTCTAGGTGAGTGATGGGTCAGACATGAATTGACCAATAACTGGTTCAATAAAGATATGCTTTTACTTGCATGGTGTTATGGTTTGTGTCTGGATGTCCCCTCAAAGTTTCATGCAGTCATGGGAGGAGGGCTTTCCAAAGACTTCTTGTTAAACCTGGACCTCTTGAAAGGGCCAGGGTTCTCACTGTGTAAACATCCTCAACTTGTGCAAGAGGAGGGCACAGAGATGGTATGAGCGCTACACCAGACCTTGGACAAGTATCCCGCATGCAATATAAGGGAGCAAAAGAGGCCTCTCTCTCCCTTTTTCTCGTTACTTTTTTTATCTTCCACTGCCATGAATGGTTGCCCCTCTATCATGCTACCTTGCCTTGGAGCCAGCTGATTATGGATTGCAACCTTGACAAACTGAGAGCTAAATAAACCTTTCCCTCTTTAACTTTGTTGATTGTCAGGTATTTTGTCCCGGGAATGAGAGAAAAGTAACTAAGACATAGGGTTTCAGATCAACTGATGATATACGCTGTGAGTCACTCCACGGATTTCATAGTCTGGGATATGGATTATATAAATAGGGGCAGTTAAGGAACTTGTATTTAAAGGGAAGCGTAAATTGAGCTAAGACACTCTGGAGGAAGAAGCAGCAATGAAGTTTCTTCTGCTGATTCTGGTCTTGCAGGTCACTGCATCTGGAACTGTTCCCCTTGAGGATTATACAGAAGGGAAAGAATATCCAAAAGCCAGTGTAAGTAGTGATACTTAGAATTTACCTAGCTTGATTTTTGTTCTTAGTATTTATTATATTTGCTAGTTTTATTTTGAAGAATGTTATTTGAAAACTGGTATTGAGACTATTTTTAGTATTGAAATTTTCTTTGCCATAGAAAAATGTAAAAAAGAAATGTTGGCTTTGAAGAAGTATTAGGAAATTGGAGGTTTTTTCCCTTTTACTAAAAAATTCTGACCAAGGAATACTGATCCAATATAACTGGGGTTCACTTTTACTATTATATTTTATGTTAGTCATTCAACACAAATTACTCCTATGGCAATTTCAGCATACTTCCTTCTAGTTTTCCTAAGCATTAAATTTTTTTTATATTTCTTTGCTTACTTTGGTTTTTCTGAGACAGTGTCTCACTGTGAAGTTCGGGCTGGTCTTGAACTTACTCTGTATGGCAGCCTGGTCTTAAACTCTTGTTGATCCTTGTATTCCAGTCTCCAAAGTGCTAGCATTATAGGCATATACCACCACAAGAAGTTCTTAAGCATTTTTTAAATATAATTTTTCAGTTATTAGTTTTTCATCTAGTTAAAAGCTCAATTTTCTATTTTCTAAATTACGTTCCATTCTTATTTTAGTTTTCAGGCAAGTTTTGCTGTATTGCCCGGGCTGTCTTCCAAGTCATGGGCTTGTGGGATTCTTGTTCCTCAGTTTTCTGAATCTATATCTGGTTCTATTTTTCAACATTTCTTTCATCTTTGAATTTTTCATAGTTGTTTGCTGTGTCAAGTTTTGGAGGTTTTGTTTTTCTGTTTGTTTAGCAGTGCTTGTCCACAGAATGCAGGGTCTTGCATATGTTAAGCATCTTGGTTATTTCTTGTTGCTGAGATAAAAATACTTAACACCTAAAGTTGAAGAGGAAAGGTTAATTTTGGGTCCCAGTTTATAGAAATTTTGGTCCATAATTGGTTGATTTTCAGCCGGGGTGGCATGGAAGAACCAGGGCTCTACCACTGAGCTATACCTCCAGCCAAGCTACAGGTTTTTATTGCAATTTAAATATTGTAAGAATAAAGATTCTGCCATTTTCAGAATTCCATGAATTTCTTGAAGATGCAATTAAGTAGAAACAAGTTTGAAGTAATAAAATCATGACAATTTTTCTACTGGACTACCAGGAACAAATTTTGTTAAAGATTTACAACATGCATTTGCTAACCCAGAAAATTAAAAATTCTTTCTCATTATAACCATCCAGAAAATAACAACTGGTGGTTAAAATACCTGGCTCAGAAACATAGGTGTGCAGATGAGTTATATACAAAAACAGTTCCCAACAGAAACTTTCTTACACATTATAAAATTTTTTTCCAGAGGTATTTGACACGGTATTATGGCCTTGAAGCAAATACAGACCGAATGGTAAAAATGAAATTAAGTAAAAACATTTTGGAAGAAAAAATCCAGGAAATGCAGAAGTTCTTTGGGCTAAAAGTGACTGGGCAACTGGACAGACTGACCTTGCAGATGATGAGTGAACCTCGATGTGGCGTGCCTGACGTGCATGATTTCAGAGCACTGTCCCAGAGGCAGGCGTGGAAGCATCATTTTATCACCTACAGGTAAGGGAGGTGTAGGAAGCCATGCATTTTTCTACCTTCCACTGGTCTGAGTTCTAGAATGCTGAACTAGTTAGATGGTAATCTGTTATTTGGAAATAGATAAACGCTTGCTTGCTTCAGTCATTAGTACGGTCTCTGTGTTAGATTGTAGTATCTTTAGAAGGGAGGACTGTTCACTTAGGGAAGAGTTATAATTGTTTGCTTTGCCAGTTAGTTCAGAAAAAAGCAGCAAATAAAAGGAGAGTGAAGATGAATCAAACGTAAGATATAAGCGAAAGTTTGTATTCAAATTGGATAAGACTGACAGTCCAGGAATAGGAGAAAAAATATGTTCTGTAAAATAAGTCATTCACAGAGATGACCTATAATTTACAAGGAGAAATTAAGTTACAGTTTGGTAGAGAAAGCTATCCAAGAAATAAGGGTTTTGTACTTAAAGTAGCAATTTTTCTTTTAAATCAGGAGTCTTAATTTATTAAATGATTCATTCTCCAGTGGTAGTAGCAAAACTAAAAATTGTGATTAAGACAAAATTAACTCATGGTTTCCATGTTTTCTCTCTCCTTTTTCTTTTGAAGAATCAATAATTACACTCCAGACATGAGGCGTCAGGATGTTGACGATGCCATTCAAAAAGCTTTTCAAGTATGGAGTGATGTGACCCCCCTGAAATTCAGAAAGATTAATGTAGGCGAGGCTGACATTATGATATTTTTTGCTTACGGAGGTAAAGAACTTGGATTTCCACCCGTATAATTTGGTATGATTTGTAGCATGTGCAGAAAAGCTAATTTTATTTCATTTTTTAAAAAGAGCACGGTGACTTTAATCCTTTTGATGGCCAAGATGGAGTCTTAGCTCATGCTTTTGGACCTGGAATTGGTCGTGGAGGAGACGCACATTTTGATGAAGCAGAAACCTGGAGTACAAATTTCAAAGGTAGGGAGCAAAAAGCACAGAACAAACAAAAACTAAACAAAATTTAAAATATGTTCTAATTTTGAAAGATAACATTCTGATAAAAAAATACAGCATGGAAAAACCTGTTCAGCTCATAAGCATGTTTCTAAATAAAATTTAATGTTTATATCTGAGTTTTAGTTTCAATCCTTATAAACGGAGGCTTTTGGACTAAATTAGCATAAAAATTATCTCTAAGAGTCAATCCATGAGGACTCCACGAGCAATAAGCAAGTTCATTAGTATAAACTTATAAAGAGGCAAAACTTGCTATTTTTGTTTTGAAAGTGAAATCCATAAACTCAAAGGCAAATACCAGTATTCATTCTCAGAGTGCCAATACATGAGATAAGGTTGTTGTGTGTGATTCGTTATATAATATCATAATTGCTTGGGTTTGTAGAGACACAGAAAAATAAAGTTATACAGAATTTAGAGATCTGTATGGAAAAATGATTATCATCATGTAGTATTGTGTGGTCCTGGCATAAACTTTTCAGAATGTTCAACAAATTATTTAACTGTGCATGTGTGCATTTACTAACTGTAACTAAGTATCCTATGTTTCAGATAGTGTGGAAATGAGCATCAGTAAGTCAGTCTATTACTTGGGTGAATTACTAGCATGGGTAAATTCAAACCTATCAGAACCTTCCTAACTATTTACTGAAAATTCTAGTTTATAAAATTCACTCATGTGGGAAGTAAACAGGGAGAAAGTCAAGAATATGGTTTATTCAATTTCCTCCTTCTGGCCAATTCTATACATACTGCATGCCAATATTCTTATAGATAATATGTCTACTAGAGAGGCTATTTTAGTTTGACACATAACCTAAGACATCAAATTCTATTATCAAATCAAATCATGTAGGATTAAGTATTTAGTAAACTGTAAATCCTCAGCCAGACATATTAAATGTGTCTCAGTTTTATCTGACATTATGTGGAATCATAAATTATTCATCTGAAATGAGACAATTGTGCTTGTTAGGTACAAAGAATGTTCTAGAGTCCTAAAATATCTTAGAAAAGTAATTTAACACAGCTCTGTACAGATAGACCAAGAGAAGTGTAGTGGCTAGTTCATGGAAAAGCTGAGGCTGGAACATATATTTCCTAGCCCTTAGCATTATTTTTTACTTTTTTATTTATTTTTGACTAGAGTCTATGCTTCCAAACTTATTTATAAAATTTCTTCCTTAAAATGTTCATTTTCAGCCTATTTTTTGACCCAGTAAATTAAAAGTATGGTTATGTCAGTGACATTGAGTTTCTGTTATGCTGTTGAGTGATGGAGTGTTGGAATACAGAGATGAAATGGGCATAGTCTTACCCTGGGCATGCAATCTGGTGAGAAACAGGATGCAAACATAAATCCATTGTTTGGAAATGAAGACCAATAATGATGTTTTGGGCAAAGTGTTAGGAGAATTGGGAGGAGGAAAAATTTAGCTTTAGACAAACAGTAAAACCTTTGTTTACTTTTCCCAGAGTCTTATACAGGGTGGAGAGAATAACAGTTCTTGCTTTTTTATCTTTTGAAATGGGGAATCATGAGCCAAGAGTAGGTTTATCGCTCTACTTGCACAAGCTATGGTTTATTCTAAAAAGTTCTACAACACAATACATTGCACTTGTCTGGCAATGCAGTAGTCTTAACTAGGAACAACTTTGTCCCCAGGGGGATGCTTGACATGTTTTCATTGTCAAAACTGGAGGGAGGTTGTACTTGCATTAGGTTGTTAAACACAGATTTATAAATATCGGTAAAGCAGAGGACCACCCTGACAACAAAGAATCATCTGATTTATACCATCAATAATGCTGAAGTTGGGAAACCTATCCAAGACAACGGGGAAATAAGTAAAGGATTTTAAGTCTTCTTAAGTGCTTCCCTTTCACTGTGTCAGTTGTGGCATCATTATTTTCAAAATTACAAAGAAGAAATGGAAATGTACATGTCCATCAACTAGTGAATGGGTAAAGAAAGTGATACATAAAAGGAAATAATACTCAGTCACTAAAAAATTACATCCTGTCATATGGATGGAACTGAAAGTCAATCATTATGCTAAGTGAAAAACTCAGGTACCAAAAGACAGGTACCACATGACCTTACTCATTGTGAAATCTGAAAAACTGACCTAATTAATAATTCAGAATATACTGGTGGTTGTCAGTGGCCAGAGAGATTTAGGGAGAGGGAGAATAAGAGCAGTCAGATAAGAGTTTCTGGTACACTATTGTACAGTTATAGATAACAGCTATGTAATGCATCATTCAAAAAGCTAGAGGAAAGAATTTTGACTATTTTTACCACAAAATAATGAATGTGTGAGGAGATAAGTAAATTCACTTTTATTTGAACATTGCACAATGTACACAAGTATCAGACTATCACAAGGTACATATAGTTTTATGTGTCAGGTTAAAAACGAATGGCATGTGTCTCATGGCATAACCCCTTTGGGGTGGTTTTCCCTTAGGCAAAAACCTGTTCCTTGTTGCTGTTCATGAGTTTGGCCACTCCCTGGGACTTGGTCATTCCAGCGATCGAAACGCCATAATGTTTCCCAACTATGGTTACTTTGACCCCAACACATTTAGCCTCTCTGCTGATGACACACGTCGTATTCAATCCCTCTATGGTGAGTTGAACTTCTTTATCATTTTGCCATCTACAGTTATTCACTCTCATGAATAATCTGATTAGATAATATTATTATATTATCTTCCTCTCACTGATGAGCCTATGAGACCTAGTGCCTTAATGTGTGGCAAGATTAAGAACTCAAGTCTGGTGTTCTTTCTGTCTGATATTAATGAAGAAGGCACAAAGAGATAATAATTCAACTGGAAAATACTTAAAGTGATCAAGTTAATAGCCTCCATGACTGACATTATAATCATATGGGAAAATTTCTTAGCATATGCTTCTAATGAGCTTTATAGAAAATTTAATTTGATTTTGATGCATTTTTCATCTAGGAAATAGATTGTTTTTAAAAGAATGTTTCTTTCTCCTATGATCAAAATACAAAGATTTTTCTTAATGCTTCTTGAAATGTATTCTCAGGGGCTCCAGATAAACACCAACCAATGCCACATCCGGATGGTACAACGTCAGTTGCCTGTGACCCCAACTTGAGTTTTGATGCTGTCACTAAAATTGGAGATAAATTTTTCTTCTTTAAAGATCGGTAGGATCATTTTCATATCTAATTCATATTAAAAGCTTGCCCCTAGCATGTGCACATGTGTAAGAGAGGCAGAAAGAGAGGAGAGAGAGAGAGAGAGAGAGAGAGAGAGAGAGAGAGAGAGAGACAGACAGACAGAGAAAAAGAAATTATAAGTTGGCACTTGGACTTGTATCAGCAGGCAATGAAAATATTTTGATGGATTTGAATCAGGAAATCAGTGCAATTAACTGTGCTTGTATTTTAACTAGAAAACTGGTGCATAAAAATAATTTTCAAGCCATGCATGGTGGTACACACCTATAATCCAAGTATTCTTGGTGACTGAGACAGGAAGATCCCTAAATCAACCCCAGTCTGAACAATTTAGCAAGACCTTATGTCAAAACACAAGCACAGACACACAAACACATACAAACACAAAATGAATTTGTTAGAAGACAAGAAGCAGAGAAACTCAAATATTTTAATCATAGATAAAAAGTCTGGAGCTAAGTCTATATGTAAAAGGTTCTATGTATTTCTTGAATATAAAGAATATAGAGAAGAGAATCCAAGGGTATCTGATGATTTGTGTCTTGAAAAACAGACTGAAGTATGGGGCGATGGTGTAGAAGATTAATATTTAGTAGGAAGGACTCCTTATACTTCTCTCCAGTTAGAAAACTGGCAGACAGATTGTGGGCCCGGATTAGAACCCTGTATCCTTGGATGCCAAAGTCCAGAGTATATCAAGTTGTCTGTTAAAGTCATTATGTTGTTGAGTAAGACCTTTTCTTTGTGGAGCTCCTAGAAATCCATAGAATAGAATGTGAAAATAATGGGAAGAAATATTATACCAGTTCACAGTTCTTTACCATCCTTGTATCAAGGAACTTGAGTCTGCAACAGCATTTAGCATGTGTTGTGTAAATGTCCTCCATGGCAGGTACTTGTGGTGGAAGCGTCCTGAGGAGTCAAAAGTCAGAAGTGGCTTAATTTCTTCCTTATGGCCAAACTTGCCAGTTGGCATTCAAGCTGCTTATGAAGTTGAAGCCAGAAATCAAGTTTATCTTTTTAAAGGTAATTCCAATGTTTAATTTTGCCATTGAATATGTTTTAAGGAAAAAAAGGAATTGAGGAAATATTACTACTTTTTCTAGATGTAGACCAAAAAAGTACCCCTCATTGTATTAAAGATGTCTCTGAACTTTAAGTTGTAGTAGCTTAACTGCAAAGGAAATACACACCACTTTTGAAGAAAGTTTGTAAAATATAAGATAGTAATACCTGTGGGCAGGGGGACGTGAAACCATAGAAGATAGGTGTTGGTCAAGAAAAACAAGTACAGGAATGCATTTTAAAATTCTGGGAAAAGAGGGATGCTCAGTAAGTCAGTACTTTACATTCCTCTGTCTATATAATTCTAACATACCACTTTTCTTTGTCTTCACAGATGATAAGTACTGGTTAATTAGTAATTTAAAAGCACAGCCAAACTATCCCAACAGCATATATTCTCTGGGCTTCCCCCGATATGTGAAAAAAATTGATGCAGCTGTCTTCAACCCGGTTACATATAAGACTTACTTCTTTGCAGATGATCGATATTGGAGGTGAGCTTTCATGACTGATAATCTGACCTCTAGGATTCATGAAACAGGAAGGGAATGGAGTCTTTCAGAAAGTAGTCTTTCTATGCAAGAACTATGACTTTCCCGAGAGAAGGCTAAAGAAAGACATGAAATAGCTATTTGTTAACCTAGTTTTCTCCTCTGTGCTTTTGGTTTCTGATATATGGGATCATACATAACGTGTTTTTAAGAAGAAACATTTTTGGTTGGGGATGTAGGTGAGTGGCGCAGTGCTTACATGGCATGCAAGAACTGGGTTCAATCTCCAACACTGTGGAAAGGGGTGGGGTGTTTAAAAAGTAAAAGAATATTTCAAATAAAATATTATCAATTGTAGTGGAAACAATTGTAAATAGTGGTATAGATACACGAGGTCTATTATGTAGTCTACGGTCACCATGGAGAGTGGATGAATTTTCAGACTCCTCTTCACAATTACTGGACCCAGAAAACACAGTGAGGAAGTGTGCTTTGATAGGGTGTCCAGGCAGTAAGAAATTAGATGGCCAGGCAGAACCAGGAGCTCATCTGAGCAGTTGTCTGGTTTTCTATCCAGAGTCTAATTTTGAAGTAGGACAGCATCTTCTATACCAGTGACGGCAAACTTTGAAAGCTTTCTGTGACACAAACAGCCCACTGTTGCATGCGTGCCATAGGTTCATCACCATTGCCCTACACTTGCTTCTGAGGAAACCAGCTGTTTCCCAGATTGCTTGCATGGCTCACAGAAGCATAGGAAAATGTACTAAGAAGGTTATATTCTCAGCTGTGTTTATTCTTGAACATTTAAATTCAGCACCTAACTTCAGCTGAACACCACATAATTATGAAATGACTTTGACAACAACCTTAGCCTAATCTGAGTAATAGAACTATTTTTTCCTGGAGATCAAACCCTAGGTCTTGAGCATGGTAAGCAAATACTCTACCACTGAGTTGTACCCACACCTTATAAAAAACAATTTTTGATTTTAGTAGTTGGAATTTTCTAAAGAGTTCATAAACTCGTAATTCATAGCCTATCAATTCATGGCTTATAATGTTAACATTTTAATTTTCATCCATATCTGTATTTACTTTCCTGATTGTATCTAGGCCAAAACTTTTCTTTGCCTCAAAAGACAGAAACAAGGGCTTACAATTGACACAGTCATGACAAGCAATAGATATTTGGAGAACTAAGCTGATTAACAGGCAGATTCCATTGCTACTTGGAAGCCTAGGGAGAAACAAAATTCTTTTACTCACTAGTTAAAAAGAACTTAGAAAAATGACTGGATATGGTAAAATGGTTTATTTTTCATTTCTCTCTAACATGTATGTTTAAAATCTTTTGCATCCATGGCTCTTTAAACCCTTGACTTTTATTATGTATTTAGGAAAAAAAAATATTTTGTTTCAGTAGAAAGCTTTGAATAGAAGTCAGGAACAGACAACCAAATAATTTAGACAGCAAAGGACTGAAGTGTGCCAAGTCGCCTTCAGTCCCAGGCTCTGTAACAGAGAACCAAGAACTGGGGGAGCTCTGAGAGGTAATGGCAAAAGACTTAACCAGAGTCAGGAGGCCTAAGTTTGGAGTCCTAAAAGGACTCTAAGCAGATGAGCAAACATTTAACTCGTGGATACATTCATCAGTACAATCAAAGCTTCCAGGAAGGAGCCTTTTGGGACAGAAGTTAGGCTTCTAGTTCATGTAATAAAATCCACTTTCTGATTGAGTTCATGCTGGTTGTTTCATTGCTTAGGTATGATGAAAGGAGAAAGCTCATGGACCCTGGTTACCCTCAGCTGATTATCAGGCACTTCTCAGGAGTTAGGCCGACCATTGACGCAGCCTTCTACTTCAAAGGTAAGTAGATTAGGAGACCATGAAGACACTGGAATATCTATCATCTATCTATCTGTCTATCTATCTATCTATCTATCTATCTATCTATCTATCTATCCTGTCATCTATCTATTTATCTATCATCTATGGAACTAGGGATTAAAACCCAGGGCCTTTGTACTGAACTATATTTCCAACCCTTTAAAAAATTGTTTTAAATTTTGAAATAGGGTCTTGCTACGTCACTAAGTTTCTGAGGCTGGGCGTGAGTATGTGATCCTTTTGCTTCAGCGTCCCAAAGTACCACACCCGGCTTGGGAAGTCAGAGTACGGTTAGGTTTCAAATTAGAAAAGGACAAGACTCTTCTCCACAGGGCCATAGAGGAAAAACTTACACCGTGCTTCTCTTAGGATAGGATAGAAGAAAACGGCAAGGCGTAGGCCCCCAGTGACATACTGCTGGGCTGGGCTGGCAGGCAGAAGAAATGTGGTTGCTGCTATTTTCCCCGCCTCTGAGTCTCTGGAATTTCCTATGACTACATGAGCTGCACAGTATGAACAGTGACATGTGTCAGTGAGGCTCAGGCCAGGCTGGATTGTCATAGTCTCCTAGATATTGCAGTCTCTTCCTTTTTTTCCAGTTCTTCCCATCTTTTCAAGCTCTCCTAGACTGGAACTGATGGTGGGATAAGGTTCAAATTTTGTTGTGAACATCATATTCACACTAAGAAAATTTTTCAGTGGATCAAAATTTTAAATTTTTCCTTCATCACTTTTCCTCCATCAGGCTCCTGTGTGTCCTCCTGTCTCGGGTGCCACCTCTTGAGTCCTTCACCCAGGGTGTGATTGCGAGTGGGTAGATTTGTGGGGGCAAGATACACTGCCAAATTTCCCAACATTTATATTCTTACATCATGCCTCATCTAATTTAGGCAATCTATAAAACAGATCTAGTTCTTCTAAAGAAATACAAAAGGGAATAATTAAATTACTTGTTTTCATTTTTAGGACACTATTATTTCTTCCAAGGATCTAACCAACTTGAATATGATGTCAAGTTACGTCGTGTTACCAAAAGGCTGAAAAGCAATAGCTGGTTTGATTGTTAGGAATGATGTATTCAATGGTGTTTGTCAATTCATTTCAGTTTAATAATCTTTTATTGTATATATGCTATGTGCCCAGAGTACCACTACGTGGTGATATGTATCATAAAATAAGGCATCTGTAGAAACCACAGATTAATGACTGTGTAAGGAAACAATTATACAAAATGTAAACCCTTCCCATCAGTTTTGTTTGATTCTATTAAGTTTGAAAGTAGGTCAACAGTATACCTTCAAAAGCCAACAGCACACTTTTTGGAGACTTCTGTGTAGATAGCTTCCTAACATTTTTAGACTGAAAAGTTGGAATTATTTCTTTGTCTTAACTAAAATTAAACATATTATTTTGCTCAAATAAAATTTTTAAACAAAATGTTTGGTTTTTAATGCATTGTTTTCTAGAAAAGCAATGTAGTTTGAAAATAAATCTGAGCCTACTTGTAAATGAAGTCTTTCTATGATTGGACCAAGGGTTGAACAGAAACATGACAACCATTAACAACAGAAAAAAATTAGATTCCTTTTGATCACTTGTGTAAGGCCACCTATATGCTTGGTTGCAAGACAAGAAAGCTTTCTTTATCCTGTACATGATGCCAATGAGTAACTACACAAGACAGGACGGAAAATAGAAAGAACATCTGAAGGAAATTCAGTCTTTAATTTCCTATAGGGAATAACTTTTCTTATAGGGATGTCTTGGTCTTTTTCCTTACAAACACAATTCTAGGGTTATCCTACTATTGTAAGTAAGAGAACCCACTCACACTAGGAATGGATCTCCTCCCCTATCCATGCTCTTTGTGTTCCCCATGTAACCCCTGATTTCAGTTCATTCCACTCTTTAGAAATGATTATTTGACAGGAAATGGACTGAACTGTATCTTGGATCTTCAGTGCATCAATCAGATTAAAAACTAGATGCATTCCACAAATTCATACTAGTAAGAGCTCTATAGCATACACAATGCAGAAGATTAGGAAAATGTGTTAAAGAAATAAAGAAAATTACTGTGAGACAGTCCAAGCAATCTGCGTGGTGTGCTTAGCATGCATTTTGTGTGTTTTTTCCCCCCACAATAAGCCTTTGCTAAGGGGACCACTAACATTTCCTCCTAAATTTAAGGAATCTCAGATTTAGTCACTCACTAAGGTCAAAAAGCAGTTACAAAGACCATATTGTGGGGGAAAAAGGAAAGATGAGGGGAGAGAGAGACAGGACAGGGATAAGGGAGAGCGGAAGAGGAGGGCAAGAGGAGGAAAGAAGCAGAAAAAGGGAATGTAGCTAATAAACTTGTTCAGAGTTACACAGCCTTAGAGCAGTAGGTCAAAGCTGGGTACTCTGATCCAGGAATTTATGATATTAAGATTCTGCTCTTCAGATTTATAAAATCAAAAAAAAAATCAAGCAAATGTAAAACTCTTGACACTCCACTTTACAAAGTTTTGCATTTTACTTGGATTTTCAATTAAGACTCTTTAAAATATTGACCCAAAAGACAGATGATAAAAGAAATATCTGAATTGATAATGGCCAAATGTTTACAAATTTGATGAAATCTGTAAATTTAAGAAGGTCAATGTCAAGGAAGATAAGCCTAAAGAAAACCACAGCAACATGTATTTTACGAAGATTACTGAATACTCATGATAAAAATGTTATAAAGACAGAGTTAAAAAAAGATGAGACCATGATTATATACTGACTGCAGAATTTTTTCCCCACATATTTGGTATACAAATGAATGTGTTTCATTTTGGTAGATTTGTGCATACATATAATATACTTTAATTATTCCCTTCCTTAGCACTATCCTGGCCTCTCCCTGCTTCCACATTTTTGGAGAGAGTTTCAAAGCAAATTATGTGTACTCATCAATCTCATACCTCCATTACTTGCCTTTACACTTGACTGCAGAATTGTCAGAAATAATGTGATAAAAAAAATGAAGTGATATAGTGAAATAAGACATCAATCTAGAATCCTGTATCTTATAAAAATAGCTTAAAAATTAAAAACAACACACTGCTTTCACAGGAGAAATAACTGCAGGATTCATGTCAGAAAACAAGTTCCAAATGAAAAATTGAATAAATTTCTTCAAATAAAAGGAAAAAATGTTAATTTACAGCAACACTAACATATTTGTTAGACTCTATTTTTTCTGTTTTGTTTTTGCTATATGGGGATTTAACCCAGTGCCTTCCCAGCTGAGCTGCATCCTGGTCCTTACTATTCATTTATTCATTCAGACAGATTTTCCCTAAGCTAGTGATTTGCCTAAACTGGGCTCTAACTTGCTATCCTCCTGTATCAGCCTATGGAGTGCTGGCATTATAGATGTACTCCATGTGCCAGAAAAGATTTGGGCTTTTTAAAAATCTTCAATTATTCTAAAAATAATTAAATCTCTGAAGCAAAGGAATAAAAATGAATTTTTGAGTTGTTTTACTTAGATAATATACATCCAAGTAAAATACATAACCATAGCACAAACGTGTGAAAAAGAAATGCAAGCATAAAGTTCTTACATGTGATGTGTTGTGACACTATTTGAAGGCAAAATTGATGAGCTAAAGTAAAAATCATAATTTTAAAATCATCTGCTAAAAATAGATGTAACTAGTAAGTCAGTAACATTGATACTAAAAATTACTCTAGTCTTTCAAAAGGAGATATGAAAAGAGGAAGAAGGAACAGATGTGGCAAGTAAAAAAAAAAAACAACAGACAAGATGGTATAGGATGGACCTAACTCCCCTCATATTGACAATTTTATTATAAATTGCCTAAACGTGGCAACTGAAAGAGAGACTGTCAGACTGAAACAATTTCATATCCATAAGAAATTGACTTAAAGGGTTGGGGGCTGTATTAGTTACTAGTCCCATCACTGGGACAAAATATTTGGCACTGGTAAGTTAAAGAAGAGATTTATTTCGGTTTATGGTTTTATCCAAAATTGACTGGCTCCAAGGCAGAAAAGCATGGTGGGAAGCATGATGGAGGAAAGCCACTTAACCCACTGCACACAGGATGCAGAAAGAGAAGGAAGGAGCTGGGAAAGGAGGGGCACTCTCCAAAGCACACCCTCAGTAACGCAAATCCTTCAACCAGGTCCAAGCTCCCAGCAGCACATTTAGCTAGGAACTCAAGGATGGATCAGTCTGCTGATGAATACAGCACCACCACAGCCCAATCACTTTCTAAAAGCTCCACCTATGAACACTGGGCACATTCGGGCTGGGGGACACTCCAGATCTAAACTGTAATAAGGATCTGTCTCAGTACTAGAGGATTTGCCTAGCACTTCCAGGCCTGCAATGGCAAATAAAAAGACATTTGTTTCAAATGTAAAGACATTGATAGGCTACAAGTAATAGGATGGGTAACCGTGTACCATGGGAACACTAGTCATGAAAATAGTGAATATTAAAGCAGTTGGATTAGACACAGAACAAGGAATCATATGATTAATATAGAGCACAGTTCATAGTCCTCTAACATAAATTTATGCTTGTCAGAAAACTAGTAAAAATGCAAATTTTAGCTCTTGGCCAGAACTACTGAATCAACTCTGGGAAGTGTTTTATCAAGCTCTCGAGATGATTCTGTTTTATTGGAGAAACACAGATATAGAGAATACTTCATAATTACAAAGGGGTCAATTAAAAACACCAAATGAGTTATTCATGTTGAATTTCTATTCCAGCACTGTTACCTATCTGACCATATAATATTGTGAAAGCTACTTAATCAGTGATGTGATCATTTGTGACTATTAACTGCTAGAAATTACAAATCATGGATGTATCAACCATAATCTTAATGGGGATATTAGGGCTGTGCAATGATTTGATACAGTTTTATTCATCAGACCAAGATTCACCCTGCGTATTTGTTCTTGCTATGTTTTCTCCTTAAATGCTGTATGCCTGGTCCCTTATACAAATCCTAACTATCTGTCTAGTTCCAAGCAAGTCTAGCCTTTGTCCCTTGTGATGTACTGTTTACATCTTACATTTTGGCACTTAAGTATGCAATGATTTCCTTTTTCAAAATTTTTCTTAAATTTTGTTTTTGTAATATTTAATAATATCAAATACACTTGTGTAAGTTGTGTTGATGCTTAATAATGTTATAAAGCATTATATGAGTGTACCATAAGGTATTTTTCTTCTGTATTATAGTCATTTGAATTATTTTTGGCATAATCCTATAGATGAGATTGTAGAATCTTGTCTGTATTTTAAGGAATCCAAGTGTAACAGTCTTGGAGGAGCTAAAGATGGTGGATTGGTAAGCAGCAGAATTCAGAGGATCTGAGACAGCAACTCAGATGCTGGAATAAAACATCATGGAGAGGTCTGGACAGAGAGAGATGGATCCTCTCGACCCAAGGAGAAAGTAAAGGGAAAAGAGCTGATCAAACATGCAGTCCCAGGACTACCATTGGAGCAACTAAGATTAGTGGTCACCATGTTCTCACTGGAGTACCTAAACTCATGCCACCATGACTCACCCAGCCACCTGAACTCCCACTGCTGCAACTCACTGGAGCTGCAGTCACACTGAAGTCAGGGATCGGTGAGCCCAATATAAAATGGAGCCAGCAAGGGACTTGCATTGATCCATGGTGAGTGCAGGGAATAAAACCCTCTCACGCTAAAGGGGCAACCAACTGGATGACATGTTGGAATCAGGCAGGATGGGCAGAAGCAAGAAACAGCAGTGACTTCAGTTGGTTGCTCCCTTTCCAGAACAGATTGGTGGGATATGCTTGGCCTGGGTCATGCCCCTGGCCAGGACCCAATAAGTTGTCCCAAACCAATTCCTTATGTGAGGCACACACTAAGGCAGTGAAGACCCCCACAGGTTGGCTGACTCAGAGGGGAGGGGCCAGCATACACTGCTCCTGCTTGTACCTCAGTGACCAACAGCAAACTGGAGTGGGCAAAAATCCCTAGCCAGCATGCTTTAGAAGAATCATAACCAATAAGAAAAGGCACTGAGACCACTTCTACCCACCTATATGGAAGACACCAAAAACATGACAAGAGAAAGAAAAAGTTCCCATGCCCCATCCTTGAGAACACTGATCCAGAAGAGGTGAATACAAAAGAGGCTGAGGGCAGCAAATATGCAATATCAGACACAGCATCAGTGGACATAAAGAGATATATTCGGGACCTCATAGACGAGTTCAAAAGGGAAATATTTAATCAAATAAAGTGAGATATAAGTAGATTAATAAAAGAAATGCTAAACACCTCTCAAGAAGACATAGATGGAAGAATGGAGGAACACACAAAAAAGGAGAGAAACGTTCAATAAAGAATATTAAGAAAACCTAGAATACATAAAGCAGATTCA